TTCTAAATTCATAGGAATCTAAAAAAAGAAACAGACTTTTGCGTCTCAGAATTCAAAATTAGCTCCAACCACGCCGAACCCAATCAAATATGGGTCTAGTTACCTTCTCCACTGCGTGAAGAGCAGCACCGTGTCCACCAACACCAGCTCCAATGATGACAAGATCGTAATCAAAGTTCCCCTTCGATGCAGGTGCTCCATTCTCAGAACTCAACGCCGAAAGAGTCGTCTTAACCAGCCGCACACGAGATCGAACTCCGAGTGCTGAAGAAGAGCTCTTCAGCGGGTGAAACCCTAGAGCCTCTCTACGGAGGCCGCAGAACCGGAGGGATCGAGGAGCAGGCTCAGATCTGGAGGTTGAGGGAGACGAGAGCGAGAGGGAGAGAGAGGAGAGGGAGATCGAGGACGCCATTGCTAAAATCTAGGGTTTGAGATTTTGGAGGGGAGACAGAGAAGAAATAGAGAGAGCGAAGCCTCGAGTGATCCGTCGAGGGACGGAGAATACAAAGAGGATTAATTTGATTGTGTTCCGTGCTGAATTGACGCTGGATTTTGGTTTGGAGAGGCAACCGCGATGAAAATGACAGAGGGAAACGGGTCGGGTTTGGGTCGGAGGCTGCGAGAAGAGCCACTGGTTCGTTATAGATTTGTTCGAACCCGAGAGTATTACCGGATTCAAATTCATATTTTGGAATTCCAGATCTGATTGATTTTTTTTAATCGTGAAATTGAAAAGTGTTGTAAATATAAATACAATGAATGTGGACATTACTAGAAGAAGTCTCTTCACCTACTTGTGACTTTTAGTATTCCCTTCCACATCTATATAATGTAATTCATGGAAGACAAAATGTATGTGGAGAAATGAAGATGAATAAAATAAGATGATCACTTTCTCTCTATCTCTTCTCTTGTCTATTTACATTTACATTTCATGTTCGATTCTTACTTATGATATGTGATGTATGTAGATATAACAACAAGATTACAACACGTTATCAGCACGAATGGCTCTAGCCGGTTCGTGATCATCGGATGCACTCAGATCTGAGTCGTAACCAATTTGCTAAAGTGAGCAATCTTCGGAAATGTACAAAACTGCAGCACTTGGATCTTGGATTTAATCACTTGCGCTCAATAGCATTATTGGGTGAGGTAAGATAGCGGTTCTGTTCTCTCTTAGTTAATTTTAATTGAATTAATTACTGTTCACATGTTATTCTATGTCTGCACATATTTCTGTTTGAATATAAGAAGCTTCTGCTATCTCTCATGACATAATGGAAAAGTGATACTCAATATTGTTATATGCTTCTTTCTTAAAAGACAAGTTACTTTTCTTTTTAATCTAGCGCAATGCATCTTAAAGTTGATTTACCTTGACAAATGCAAAAAGGAAAACCACAACCACTCAACTCAAGCATTTACCTTTGACAAGTTACTTTTCCTTTTATAAACATGCATGTTGGTCTTATTATGAATACAATATGTTATGGGAGTGTGATCGGAGGAGTGGAATTCCTGTCAAGATACACAGTAGGCAGGAAGTTATTAAAACATGCTTTGCTGGCAAGTAGTATGTAATTGATGAGTACATATATTTACGAGGGATCTAGTATGAGGCAATCAAGTTGTTTCCATAATGTGATAGGTTGAAGATACTACCACGTTGAAGTATTTATCTTTAGTCAGTAAAATATAAAATAAAAGAAGATTAAATGTTGCTGGAATATAAAGTGTGTTAGATCATGAACAGGCCTTTTTCAAACACGAGTGCGAAGGGTGCAATTAATAACAGCAGTTATGGTCATTCCCTCATTTAGCGCGAACTTGGCAATTATCGTCAATAGAGCAAACCCAAACTACAGGAAGATTGTAAACACATAAGGCTTTATCTGTCTCCAGAGCTCGAGAGAATAATCTCTCAGTTTATTCTCCATTGAGTTTTTCGTCCTCACATTATTGCTTTGAAACAATCTAAGAATTAGATTTCGAGCTACATATATTTATCTATATACATTTCAGTTTCGTAACACGACTTCTTCATTGATATCAAGCACACCGATGTTGAGTCCACACTAGACTCCATTATAGAAGAGATCATAAGATGTCATATAATAGCACAATGTAGGCACATGTGACTAAACTTCTCCGTTACTAATTGTGGAATCTTCTTGTCTGGTTTTATTCAAGTCATTAGCGTGCTGTGCGAGGAAAATTTAATTATATGTTGATTTCATGCGGTCTGGTTTAATACAATTTGCAAATGCATATAAATCATTTATTATATGTTGATTTCCTGCATTTTGGTTTAATACAATTTGCAAATGCACACATTCTGTTGATTGATCACTTATCCTGGCTAATTAGAACAGAGGCATGCACTGTAACTAATGATTTGTGGCTCCTTTATTTATTCACTTATGTTTGTATGCACACCTGCAATATTTTATAAATTTGGTGGATTGATATATCTTCTAATGATAATTATAGCATTTCTGAACAAATGTCTAACATCACCAAAAGGGAATTTGCTGAGCTTGCTGTTGATGGCAGCAACTACTTGACTTGGTCCTTGGATGTTGAAATCTACCTTGATTCTTGTGATTTTTGCACGATTATATCTCTTGATTCTTTAAGTATCTTTGCCTAGAAGGCAAACACTTTAAATTTTCTCTCTATCAATTAAGACATGAAAAATTAATGCCTCACTGAAAAAGTATTCACTTTTCTGAGCAATCCCTGAAGGATCGCTTTGATCTATGGAAGCCAATAATTTGATCAAAAAGTTCTTTTCCACATTCCACGCAAATAATATTGTACTCCAGCAGCAGTACATGACCAAGAATTGCAATTAGCATTCTGAATTGATTAGTAGTCGCAGAGAAGCACAATCAATTGATGATTAGAAATCACAATGTCAGACTAGTTTGCTTACGAGTTGTGTTTGTAGCACATGCTACAATTCAGAAAATTTCTTATACGCATGGACAAGGGGGAGGCTATGAACATAGTAGGAGATCTTATCCTGTAGCCATTTTTGGATTTTAAACCCTCGACTGAATACAATTCAACAAGTAACCTTGTACTCTTACAATAGTATAACTAAAAGCATTATGGACTAATCCTTGTATTAGTAGTTGTTAAAAACACAACCAGTTGTTGTGAGAAACCATAATGCAAGTTTAATTGGTTCAGTCGTAGTGCCTGAAGCACATGTCATAATTCAAACTAATATTCATAAACTAGGTCTAGGGGAAGGTAATGGATCTTATCGAACTATTTGGTTTCTCTATATTTGGATTATATACATTTGTCAGACAATTTTAATTTATCTTGATTTTGCTTTAAACTCTTGTGAACCTATGTGGTTTTTATTCATATGTGTATATTTTAGAATTTGTCTGACCTAAAATACAACATGTTGAGATGAGTTTGAGATTTAGGGACCCAAATTCTTTTAAATTCTGGCATGAGCGATTGGGTCATCTTGGGCAAAATATGATTTGTCGGATTTCCTTAAATTAAATGGGGCATTCAAACCAAATCCAACCAACTGCATATCACAATTTTCCCCCTTTATCTAATACGTGGTGAAGAAGCGAAACATTTCCCATCTGCGTATTCTTTATTTGCAGTCCATGTTTATATATCACCACCATAGCATACCTCTACGGGACTTCGGTGAAGGTACATACATTATTTATGAAACTCCGTCAATAATTTAGTACCTATGGCCCATGTTGGGGATCGATTTATAATTTGGTATGCTGACTGCATTTCTATTGAAGATCAATTCTCGACATTAGGGGGAGATTAGTGCCCAAAATACAAAATAATGTCAAGAAATTCTATTGGTGAAAAAGATCTTCAATATTTATATCCACGTACTAGTCAAACTGAACCAGAAGTTCAAATGATAATCTGCTAAGAAAAGAGTGACTAAGCCCCATATTCATGTTGAATATATCATTGATGATTTGGTATGCCAGAAGCATATTGTGCCAGAAGCATATAAAACATGTTAGTATAAAAGATAAAAGTCCGCGGCAAACTAAATTATATATATAGAAAGACAGTCACTCCCATAACCTCCAGAAGAGGTTCATCCTGAAGATGGAATCTCCAGTAAATTGCACGTGCACTAGATAATCACAATACTGGAGATGCGGAACGGCCAAATCCAAACGTTAAGGGAAATGGCGAGGATTTGGTTAACATAAAATAAGAATTAAAGTGGCCACGAATTTGTGAAAAAGGAGAAATATATAATAGAAATATAAAAGTTGTCGACAACATAGTTGCCTCTACAGTTGCTCTTACTATCTCCGAAAATAATCTGGATCCAGAACCTAAGTCGGTAGATATTATATCTAACAAATGGCTCAAAAACAGAGCTAACAGCTGATTCATATGTACGTCATGACCATATTTTTATATGAGTCTTTTATATGAAAGTCCCTGATAGACTTAAAATTTCTGAATTAAGAGAAAACAAGAGTCGCAACATGTATAGCATTAAATTATAAAGGTCGTTATACGACTTGAAACAGTCGGGTAGAATGTGGTATAACTGACTGAGCAAGTTCCTTCTGAAGAGGAGATATGTAAATAATGATGTCTGCCCTTGTGTGTTTATAAATAGCTTTTGTATTATATCAGTCTATATTGATGATATAAATGTTATTGGAATGCACAAGGAGCTTACAGAAGCTAGCTCATGCCTAAAGACGGAGTTTAAAATGAAAGGCTTGGGAAAAACCAAGTTTTGTCTCGGCCTGTAGATCGAGCATTTTCCCAGAAGGAATTTTTCTACACCAGTCAACCTACGTGAAAAAGATTTTTGGAAAGATTTTATAAATCTCATCCACTTAGCACATCAATGGTCGTCCGGTCTCTCGAAGTGGATAAAGACCCATTTAGACCCAAAGAAGATAATGAAGAAATGTTAGGGCCAGAAGTTCCCTATCTGAGCACCATTGGAGCACTTCTTTATATCGTAAATTGCACCAGGCCTGATATTGCATTTGCGGTGAACTTGCTAGCAAGGTATAGTGCTTATCCTACAAAGAGGCAATGGAATGTCACTAAACATTTCCTTCGCTATCTTCAAGGTACAAAAGATCTTGGACTATTCTATAAAAGAAACCAAGATATGACATTGGTGGGCTATTAAAACGCTGGCTACATATCTGATCCCCATAACGCCAGATCCCTGACTGCTTATGTTTTCCTCTGTGGTGGTACTGTCGTTTCTTAGAGGTCCGTTAAGCAGACCATGGTGACTACTTCTTCTAACCACTCAGAGATTATCGCTTTATATGAGACCTCACGAGAATGTGTATGATTAAGATCGTTGATACGACATATTTGTGGCTCGTATGGTCTAACGAAAGATGATATTACCCCCACTGTCCTTTATGAGGACAATGCAGCTTGTGTTGCATAAATGAGCAGTGGATATGTAAAAGGAACCATGACAAAACATATTACGCCAAAATTCTTTTATCCACATGAGCTCCAAAAGAATGGCGAAATCACCATCGA